GCCAATATGGTGAAACCCTGTCTCTGCTAAAAAAAAAAAAAAAAAAAAAAGAACACACACAATCACAGAACCCGGGACAATTCCAACATCAAAGTAATGATAGTAAGGGATTATATACCATCCAATAAAATAGGAATCAAAGTCCATACAGGTACAAATAAATGAGGGGAAAAAGAGTAAGAATACAGGACAATGTTAACTAATAAATGTAGAAGGAATTTGAAAATCACCACTTGGAAACCATTACAGTAATAATTCAGGCAAGAAACAACAATACTAAAACGAATGCGCCAAATTTTGATGAGAAATAGGATATTTACAAAGGCTCAAAATATCTCCCTATAAAATATTTATCCAATACAAAGGGACAAAGAGTAACTTTCCAGGGAAGACGGGCAGACGCCATCTGCCTCAGGGTCCAAGTGACCACCACCAATGATGGGACAAATTGACACCCTGTGTCACCTTACGGGGTGCAGCGAGAGGGGCACAACAAAACTTCTGTTTCCTCCAAACACACATACCAAGGGTAGTAATGAGGAAACACCAAACATACATTGAGGGACATTTTATAAGACAACTGTCTTACAGTCTTCAAAAAATGTTAAGGTCATAAAGATCAAGGAGGGAGAGGGACTGAGAATGTGAACTGGGAGATTCATTAAATGCAGTCAAACGCAGTGTGTTAACCTGGATCGGGCCCTTTTGCTTGGAGGGCAATGTTGGTGCAAGTGTAAAATTTTATAAGGTTCTCTAAGGTGGTGGTGGGGTATGTGGGAGCTCCTATGCTGTTCCTGCAACTTTTCTGCAAGTGTGAAATTGTGTATGAAAAAACTGCCAATGCTCTTTGCAAATATGGTATAAAAATGATAAAACCATCTTGAATTACAACAGTTAAAGATATGACTGAAAAGATTTTACAATTAAGTAGTAAGAAACGAATTGGTTAAAAAACACGTTTAACTTTGCAATTTCCTTAGAACCGAAGACAATATAAAAATTACAGTCAAAATGCTGTTAAGCAGAAGCAGGCCTGACAGCTCCCTATGCAAAAAAATAACAACAAAAAGACGCCTACAATGAACTAAAATGTTAAGCTGCAAAAATCACTCCAGGGTCCATAAAATCATTCAGTAAACAAAAAACCAAACCCCCAAGCTGTTCTAAGACATAGTACCACCACCAAATATTCTCGATACATTTTCAATGAATTTTGAAGCAATATATTGTGCTCAAATCTGCTATTGTGTGCAAACAAAACTGATATGGCTTGTATGATTGTGCAGCCAAACAAAAGCAGTGTTGAAACAATTCTGAAACAGTTTTGAAACTTACAGAGGGGGAAGCTGTCAACATCCAAATCCAGTTATCTGCATCAAACATCCCAGGAGCCTCAGGTGGCAACCCAACTGGCAGTTCCAGTCCTGGTCAGCACACTAGGGCCATTTACAGCTGAGAAGCCTGTGATAGTTTTGTGTCAACCTGACTCGGTGAAGGGATGCCCAGATAGCTGGTAAAACGGTATTTCTGGTGTGCAGGTGAGGGTGTTTCCAGAGGAGTTTAGCATTTCAATCAATAGACCAGAGTACATCTACTGGATGATGCCCACCTTCACCAATGCAGGTGGGTGTCATCCATTCTGTTGAAGGCCCAAACAAAAACGCAGAGGAAGGGCCAATTTGCTTGAGTTGAACATCCCCTTTCTCCTGTTCTGGGTACCATGGGCCTTACACCAGTGCACCCGACCCCTCCCTCGGACTTCTCAGGCCTTTGATCTTGTACTGAACTACACCAGTTCCTTTCCTGGTTCTCCAGCTTGCAGACAGCATACTGTAGGACTGCTAGGTCTCCATAATCAGATGAGTCTATTTCCATAATAAATCTCCTTTCCTGTTTTTTTTCTGGAGAACCCTGACTTATGCAAAGCTCATTTAGAAAGTTAGTTACACGTGTAGGACAGAGCTTTCTGGTATTTTCAACATGGCAAACACGATACTTGTATAACACACTGGGAAAACAGATGAGGTTGCCTGGGGTTAGAGCCTAGGTTCCCCAGCTGCCTTGAAGACGACCTCATGGGCTGAGGAAAATCACCATCTCTAAACATCTATACCTACTGCAAGCCGAGTTAGGAAGTTCTGGAATAGGAAGACGAGGAGTGCATACTTCAAAGGCAACAAGAATGGAAAAAAGTATGACTAAGACATGAGGCAGAAGTCTGGGATGACTGTTTTCTAATTTGTACTCGTGGAAGACAGGTTAGATCTGTAAAGGATCCATTACTATTAAAATGGCCACTGTTAACAGTACATCAAGCTCAGTGGCAGAGACCATGTTGGTATCTGCAGCACCATACCACACAGGAAGCAAACTTGTCATCCGTTTCTTTGGTCCTCCCAGGCTCCTCTCCACAGTGAAAACCCTCCATGAGGGACCACCGCTTTCTAAATCTAACTTCACCACAGTGAAGGCTCTTTACAACCAACTTGCAACCATTCTTGCAGTTCCCCAAATGTTACTGACAGTGCAGTATCTTTTTCCTAGCAAATGCAAGCCTTCAACTCAGCCTCATCACTCCCCTTTCCATCCTCCCATCCACAAAGTACACAGTTCTGGAAGCTACCCACCCACCCACCACAACAGGTCCAATTACTGTAACTTCTCCCTCCAGGGTTCCACCACTCTCTTCTTCTAGCTGCAGTTAAGACGCTTCCTCCTGTTGCCCCAACTCCAATCCAGGCCATAAGAATTTCCAGATGCTTTCATCTGGCTTTTCTTTTCTGGTTGACTTGTCACACTATGCCAGGTGCTTTTGACAATGTGGTGATGGACTTCATTATCCTACTGTAAAAATAAGAAACAGTGTAGCAACATCCAAGAGTAACTTAGATACCACCAGGCCAGTACATCAGGTTCACAATGTTCCTCTGTGAGTGGACAATGGGGGTTATACCATTCCTCTCTAAAGATCTGTGACAGTCACATGGAAGCCGAACTACAGCTGAGACCTGAAGTCAAGAGTCCAGGAATGTCAGGAGAGGAATAAAAAGCATCACATAACTTAGGTCTACATAGACTAGTCGGTTTTGAACAGGGACACCAAATGTCTGCTGTAAAGGGCCAGACAGTGATTATTTAGGCTTTGCAGGCCACAGAGTCTGCTGCAGCTATCCAACAGCAAACCTCTGTAGCGCAGAAGTAGCTATACACAATATGTAAACAAATGAGCATGCCTGTGTTTCAATAAAACTTTTAAGGACACTGAAATGTAAACTGAAACGCTGAGGTGATAAAAAACATATACAATTGAAACCATTTAAAAATGTAAAGATCACTCTTAGTTCATGGACCACACAACAGGTATAAGACAGATTTGGCTCATGAAGCTGTAGTTTGCCAGCCCTTGGTGATGCCAGCCCTTGGCTTAGGAGGAAAAATAGGGAAAATGGACAGGGGAGGCCAAGTGAACTTTATGGCTGGAGAATCCACCAGAACTGACTGGGTCACGAACACTCATTGCCTGCAACTGCTTACTTTCAGTAGAACATTTTGTAGCAGGCTTTGGCTGGCTGCTTCAGAAAAGAAGTATGGAACAATGGAAATTTTATGCATTCCCTAAAAGACCTCACTAACCTTAACATCCCAGCAAATATCCCATCTCTGTGTTGACTGAGAAAAGCACCAGGAGACCCAGTAAAGTCAATCTAGTGCCTGGGCCTCCTACGTGATACACTCACCAATTACTGAAGTAAAAAGAAGTATCAGTGACAGAAGCATTGTCAACTTTCAATCTGATTCTATGTGACAGAATCATTTAAAAAATGAGAAGTGCAATGTTGGATGTATTGAAAATATTTTATAATCAATTCTCTAGAATCCTAGCCATCCAGTACAGGAAAAAATTATATTGGAACACTTCAGTATTTTTAAACAATGAAAAAAAAAATATTTGACTAGAGGATGGCATAAGAAATTTACATATACAAACTTAGGCTTCCTCACATTTCCCACAGAGCAACTAAACAAGAAAAAGATTTCAAGAAATGACAGTATACCTCAAATGCGAAATTCCAAAGTCAAACAGCTACTTACATTAAGAGATTTACCAAAACAGTTTGTAAATTAAACAATAACAGCAAAAGGCACAAAAAGCCTATTTCTTTTATGGTGTCTTGGCTGATTCTTTAAGAAGCAGATAAACAAGGTACTGTAAGGAACGATCAAAACTTGGCCTGAGCTGTCTTCCAATAATTATTAATCCTAGTATATCCAGGATTTGTTGTCCAAGGACAAAAGCTCCATGCCACCTTCTGCTGTCACTTTCCAAGGAAGAGGCTGTTTTTTTTTCTGTTTCCAGTTTTCACTATGCTCTGAGTAGACAGAGAATGTCATAAAATAAATGAGAGTATTCCATTATCCGACCAGAAATGCCACCTCTTTTCCCAACTCATTGCTCTGACTTGAATGATGAACGTATATACGAATTCTCATTTTATTCTCCTGAGAAATTATGCATGATCCATTATAAAACATACAGGTAATACAAAGTCCAAAAGCCTGTCATGTTTATGGCAGTGGTGTGATCTCGGCTCACCGCAACCTTCACTTCCCGGGTTCAAGCAATTCTCATGCCTCAGCCTCCCAAGTAGCTGGGACCACAGGCGTGCGCCACCATGCCTGGCTAATTTTTGTATTTTTAGTATAGATGGGGTTTCGCCATGATGGTCAGGCTGGTCTCGAACTCCTGGCCTCAAGTGATCTGCCCGCCTCGGCCTCCCAAAGTGCTGGGATTACAGGCGTTAGCCACCATACCCAGCCAGTTTCATTTATTTTCATAAGAAATAGGTTATGAGTACGTGATGTAAATGCTTGAAAGTCATCACCATACTGTGCTAAAGATATTGAGAAATTATGCAGAGAGAAATCTGTGCAAATTCATCATCTTAGTATCAGATGGTTAACAAAAAAAAAAAAGAAACAAAAAACAAAAACAACCCAAATTATTTCTTTAAATACTCTTATTTATACTCAGGAAAACAGATTTGAAAAACTGAACAAGTACACATCTGCCCCGTTTATGATCAAATAACAATGCCAATGAAGGAGATTCCAAAGGAAAAACTGAGATGAAAAAATCCAAATAAAAGCCAACACTGCTATTAAGATTTTTCTTTTAATATGCCATGAGATATCTTGATTGTATATTTTCCAAAGTACTTTCCAGCCACATCTCCCAACTCTTCCAAAAGATTTTGCCAGTCTTTCCAATGCAATAAAAGATGCTGGACTATAGTTTTCTCTACCATCTCTTTTTGAAAGCGATATTATACTAATGACTTTAATGGTAATACACTCTTATCTAATAAAGAAACACATTTACAAATATCAGAAACCCAGTTTTGAAACATTTGCATTAATTTTGAACTGAATCAGCATTTTGTGGGTTTTAAAAAAGGCAGCAGTTTGACTCACGACTTGCTGATAAACACATTTCTGCTGAGGGAAGGGGAAAAGACAGGGAGAGTGAATGCTGCATTTCTCCATTGGCCCCAAAAGTGCTAATTTCACAAAGGGATACATCAAAAGCAAACATGCAATGGTTGTTTTAAAACTTTTACTGCAATATAACAATGAAGTAAACAGTAATTAGACACCTACCAATTTTTCCCCAAAACAAACAAAAAAAATGTAAACAGGAAAATAACTCTGCCTATACTTGTACAGCTTCTCAAATCATGTTAGAAGGGTCTCACATTCAATGATCAAGAAATTTTAAAATAGCAGTAATTATTTTCATTTTAAGAAAAGGTTCCCTTTCTCCCCCCCACCCCCAGTATTTAACATGAAAGAATGGGCTTCCTTACACATTAATTTTATACTTATTTTTGAAGCAGCAACAATTAACCTTTGATAATTTGGCATTTCTGTTTACAGTCGCTACAAAAATTCTTTTAATTTCACAAAGCCATTATCCAGTGTTGCCATGAAACAGAGACTGTAAATTCTAGGTAGCTAAGATTCTTTCTGAAACCAATGTTAAGTCAAAGAAATATAAAGCAGGGCATTACACTAAGTTTCTGGATCTAGTACACTAAAAAGAGTGAAACCTAAGAAAAGTTACCTACTGTTTTACAGAAGAAATAAAGACCTGCAAAAGCTGATTTTTTGGTTGTATATATTTTACACACTGTGTGGAGTTGCGGCATCTGCTAATTGAAGCAGACATGCACTGTATTTATCCCTGCCCTATATCCTAGATCCCTCCCTCCCCACCCCCAACAATCTACTACCTTATACCAAGTATTGTGGATATGAGCCCAAGTCATCCCAGACAATCCAGTGAACAAGTTAGTGTAATGCACTGGTGTGAAGTGTAAGATATAAAAAAGTCCCTTTCAATCTTCATCAAAGTTCTGCTGTAGAAGAAAATTGGCAGCCAAATTCTCATTCTTCTCACAAGCAAAATATGCTTGTATCACAAGTCCTTCAGGAAATCCTAATGCCTTTAACTGGAAGAAAAAGGAAAAAAAATATAAATCCAACACACCAATTATGGCACATTTAATTTTACTTACATATTACAGATTCCAGCATAGCACTAAAGACAGATCATTACTCAAAAACATACTGCAACCCAAAAAAGCTCTTGAGAATTTTACATGAATTCATCCCTATCTGAATATGGATTTACTGCCCAACCCAAGGGATTAGATGGAATCTAGACCCTTTCCTTTACTAATCACCTAAAAAAGTCTTCGTTTTCTAGTTAAAGCTTAAGAGATACTATGCAAATACTCTTTGGCCTAATTAAATATTAGCTGCTAATTGCTATGGTTTAAAAATAAATGACTACAAAATGTGTAAATCAAATGGTTTTTAGTATATTAAGAGTGAAGATAAGGATGAGAGTACCTGGAGTATAGTTTAACCACCTCATCTAATTATTTGTAAATTAAAAGCAAATGTTTTATTTATTAATGCCAACTAATGTCTTTCATTTGGATCAAACATCACTCTCAATCTCCTTGCTTTATTCAACACTCCATACTAGAAAACCAGGTGACCAATTAGTAGTAATAACACATTGTACATTTTGAAGTAAAGACAGTGTTCTATTTTTATCTGCTTAACAGTCACAGCATTTTAAATGGTAATACTAGCTACTTAATTTCATTTTCCTAGTCTATTAAAAACCACTTGTGACAATACTCACCGCTTTTAAAAGCCTTTAAAAACTCAGCCAAATGTCACCCTCCTCAATTGTCTCAATCACTTTGAGTTAGATCACGTGTCCCAAACCCCTAGACCGCAAACTGGCACCACCCATTGGCCTGTTAGGAACTGGGCTGCCCAGGAGGAGGTGAGCAGTGGGTGAGCAAGTGTGAAGTTTCATCTGTATTTACAGCCACTCCCCATCACTCGAATTACCACCTGAGCTCCATCTCCTTTCGTATCAGCGGCAGCATTAGATTCTCATAGGAGCGTGAACCCTATGTGAACTGTGCATGTGAGGGATCTAGGTTCTGTGCTCCGTATGATAGCCTAACAAATGCCTGATGATGTGAGGTGAACAGTTTCAGCCCAAAACCACCACCCCGCCCCACTTCCTAACCTAACTAATACCTGATAATCGGAGGTGGAACAGTGCGCGCTCTGTTGGTAGAAAAAACAACGCGCTCACTCCACCAACGCGCTCACTCCACCTCTGTTGGTAGGAAAAAAGGTCTTCTACAAAACTGGTCCCTGGTGCCAAAAAGGTTGAGGACTGCTGTTAGATTATATTCGGAAATGACCCTTAAAATTTGGGCAAAAATCCGAATTCATCACGAATAACTACTGATCTATGAAAGGAGAAGAAATTTAAAAATCCGTTTGTTATCTGGATTTTATCCAGATTAAAGCTAGGATAGGCGAAGTAAAGGGTACAATCCAACTGCCTGCTTCTACAAAACACACAATTTAAAGATTCAAAGACACAATGATCGAAAAAGGTATATACCATGCAAATGGTAACCAAAAAAGAGCTAGAATGGCTATATCAGATGAAACAGATTTAAGATAAAAATTGTTACTATAAACAAAAGGCATTTTATGATAAAAAAGGATCAGGAAAGCACAACATTTATAAACATATGTAACAGAGCCACAAAATACATAAAATAAAAACTGAGAATTAAAGGTAGAAATTGGTAATTAACAATAATAGTTAGAGAAATCTATAGCCCCACCTTCAATAATAGATAAAACAGCTAAGGAGGAAGACTTGACTACAAACTAGATCTATCAGGTATTTATAGACCACAATAAGAACTACATTATATTCTTCTTCAGTATACATAGAACATTCTTCAGAAATACCATGTTAGGCCACAAAACGAACCTCAGTAAGTTGAAAAGTATTGGAAGTATGTTCTCTGATTATAACGGAATGAATTTAGAAAAGGAGAAAATGTGGGAAATTCATAAACTTGTAGAAATTAACACAATCCTAAATAACGAATGAATTAAATTAGAAACCAAAAGGGAAATTGAAAAACATTTTCAGATTAAAGAAAGCAAAACACAACATACTAAAACCTATGGAATGCTGCTATAGCATAAACACAGAAGGAATATTATAGCTACAAACATCTATCCTAACAAAGATAGATAATAATCTAATCTGAAACTAAAACTAAACAAAGAAGATCTAAACTAAACCTAATCTAAAAAAGGAAGAACAAACTAAAAGCAAGCAAGAAGGAAATAAACATTAGAGAGATTAAAAAAAAAAAAAAAAAAAAAAAAAAAAAAAAAAAAAAAAAAAAAAAGAAGACTAGAAAAACAATAGGGAGAATCAACAAAACCCAAAGTTATTTTTGTCATTAAAAAAAAAAAAAAATCAACAAAATTAAAACCTTTAGCTAAACTGAAGGGAAAAAACAAAAATCTTAGGACTCAAATTACTAAAATCAGGAATAAATGCAGGAATATTACTACTTTAACAAAAGAAGAAAATGATTATAAGGAAATATGTACAACTGCATGCCAACGAATTAGACAACTCAGATAAAATACACAAATTCCAAGTTAAAAACCACCAAAACTGACTCTAAAAGAAACAGAAAAGTAGAATAGACAAGTAACAAGAGACTGAATCGGTAATCACAAAATTTCCCAAAAAAGAAAAGCCCAGGCCCAGACTACTGGTGAATTCTATCAACTGTTCAAAGAATTAACACCAATTCTTAATAAATACTTCCAGAAAACAGAAGAGGAGAGAGTAATTCCCAACTCACTCTAAGAGGCCAGTATTACCCAGACACCAAATTCAAAGACATCACAAAAAAAAACTACAGACCAATATGACTTATGAACAGACGCAAAAATCCTCAACAAAATACAAGCAGGCTAAATCCAGCAACGTATAAAAAGGATCATACGTTGTGACCAGTAAAATTTATCCCAGAAATGCAAGGTTGGTTCAACATACAAAAATCAATCAATGTAATAAAAGCATACTAAAGGACAAAAATCACATGATTATCTTAATAAAAAAAGAAAAAAACATTTGACAAAATCCAACACCTTTTTCTGATGAACAAACTAGGAAAAGAAGGGAATTTCTTCAATCTAATAAAGGGCATCCACAAAAAACCCACAGATAACATCATACTTAGTGATGAAAGACTGAATGCTTTCCCCTAAGATCAAGAACCAGACACGGATGTTGCTGGATCTTGCTAGTTTAATAATATACTGGAGGCTCCAGATAGGGCAATTAGACAAGACAAAGAAATAAAAGGTATCCATATTGGAAAAGAAGTAAAACTGTCCCTCTCTGCAGATGACATGACCTTGCATATGGAAAATCCTAATGAACACATGCACAAACTACTTAATGAATAAATAAGAGTTCAAGTTTAAGATAAAAGATCAATATACAAAATTAAATTGTATTTTTATATAGTTAGCAATGAACAATCTGAAAATGAAATTAAGAGAAAAATCCATTTATAACAGCATCAAGAAGAATAAAAATACCTAGGAATAATTTTTTAAAAAGTAGCGCACAACTTCTACACTGAAAACTATAGAACACTACTGAAAGAAATTATAGAAAAACCTTATTATTACTATGGTAATACTCCACAAATTTCATCTATAGAATAAAACAATCCCTATCAAGATCCCAACCAGAATTTTTTTTTTTTTTGCAGGAATGAGACAAGCTGATGCTATAATTTGTGCAAGAATGCAAAAGATCCAGAACAGCCAAAACAATCTTGGGAAACAATAATAAAATGGGAACAATTAACACTTCCCAATTTCAAAACTTACTTAGAAAGCCACACTAATACGCACTTTATCTGATTTCCACGTCAAAACACTTCATAAGACAGGGCAAGTATTACGATTACTACGATTCCCTGTTTACAGTAAAAATAAGGGAGAAAAAGAACGACTAATCACGATATAAAAACTAGGTTACTGGAATCAGGATAGCAGAGTTCTGATGTTTAATATAAATAAAAAATAAATACAAATAAAAACCCGAAAAAATCTAGAATTGGGTATACACTTCTAAGACTTTTTCTTCTTGAATTTTAACACAGCAATAAAATTATACCTTTACTGCTTGTCCTTTGGCTTCACAGAAGACAAGATGGCGGAACAGGGTTAAGAGGAGTCTATCTTTACCACAATCCATTGGGCAATGCTCTATTTGGCTCTGTCCATCAGAACTATCTCCAGTAAATGAAAATGTTCTACATTGGTTCTATCCAATAGTAGCCACTAACCCCATGTAACTTCTGAGCACTTGAAACGGGGCTAGTGTGACTAAGGAATTTTTCTTCTTTTTTTTGAGACAGAGTCTCACTCTATTACCCAGGCTGGAGTACAGTGGCACAATCTTGGCTCACTGCAACCTCTGCCTCCCGGGTTCAAGCAATTCTCCTGTCTCAGTCTCCCAAGTAGCTGAGATTACAGGTGCGTGCCACGACTCCCAGCTAATTTTTGTATTTTTAGTAGAGATGGGGTTTCACCATGTTGGCCAGGCTGGTCTTGAACTCCTGACCTCAGGTGACCTGCCCACCTTGGCCTCCCAAAGTGCTGGGATTACTGGTGTGAGCCCAGCCAAGAACTAACTTTTTTAAAGTTTTAAACTCACCCTTTCTATAGCTTCCTTTTCCTGAGGCGTTACTTGAATGTAGTTCATATGACCACTTCCAGCTTCTGCAATTCCTCCACTGCCACCTCCACCTCCTCCTCCTTGACCACCAGCTTCTTGAACTGGTTCATTTAACATCTGAATAAAATGCTCCTGGTGTTGGCTAATTTGCTGTGGTGATGTGAATGACAGAGAAAAATAATACATTGATATTAAGCATCTACAGGAAAAGAGGAATTCTAAATATTACTAAGAGAAAAGGCTACACTTTTGCAAACGTATTTTAGGGATTCTGGATTATTCAGTCTTTGGAAGGATGTGATTTCTTGTACATTAGTAAAGAAATGCAGTACTTTTGGGCAAAGTAAACAGTGAAGAAATTCAAATTCTTAAGGCTCTGAGCCTCCTGTGCTAAAAAAAAAAAAAAAACAAGCAAACTACTGTGGTACTATAAGAACAGAACTTATTCTTTATACTTGCATATATTTTTACCTTCCACACTAGTGGGCACTAAAATGCTGTATAAAATTCAAAATACTTGGTGATCTGAGCATTAAAGAAGCTCCACACCTATTTTTCCTAAGAGTAAGTTGTTCCTATTGCTTAGAAGTTCCTAAGAAAAAGGAACTAAGTAATAAGCTTGTGAAAAGTGATTTAAAGTTAGGCAGTTTCTTTGTTAAACAGCTTCCCGAATTCTTTAACATATTAATGTCTACTGGGAATCTCCAAGAAGGAAATATAAAATGTTTCCCAAACTTATTATTATTTGGTCAACTTAATTTAACCCAACCTCTATACCCCAACTGTTATTTGAGTACACCTATCCAGATTACAATACTCTACTAAGTGTAGCTTGGAAGAATACATTCACCATTCTCAAATACAGAGTTGTATTTGAGGCAGGGAAGGACCATTCATGGACTTTTTCAAAATGTGATACACTCTAACCTATTTGTGAAACTGACACTGATTAGTCACCTGAAGCAACTGAGGATTCTCTCGACCTATCTGCTGTAGTAATGCTGGAAGCAGGGAAGGATTCTGTTGAATAATTTGTCTCATCTGTTGAAACTGAGGCTGATTCCGTAAAAATTCAAGTGGATGTCCTAAAATACACACAAACGTTTTTAAACAAAAGCAGTAAATACATATACAAAGAGTGGTTAAACAACACATTTAGAGAGCAAACACTATCAAGTAAAAAATGATTTCTCAGATGTAATAAATGAAGTAAATAATGATGAAATCTTCCGACCGTATCAACTTGCAAGTTTTATACGGCAAAAATTACTCCTATTAGTAAATGCAGGGAGTGCAGAACGCTGACTGTAACATGAACCAAACTTGCCTATAATTGCCCTTGGCACTCAAGGTTATAAAATAATCCTAGAAACTTGTTCGCTACGCGTGTTCTATCAAAATAAAAAGTACTAAAAGTTGTTCCTGTTGCTTAAAAGTTCGTAAGAAATATATACACAATTAACAAAAACAAAAACTCACTACTTTATAAACAATGAAAACCCCTAGAAGAACACAATCTGAGCTTGAATTCCTAGGAAATGCTAAACCAAAGTAGAGAGATTTTTAAAGTCTGAGGTCAGGTTTGCAAATCAGGAGAAATTTTAATACAAACTTACATTAAGGAAGACTTCTGGTTATTACCATTAAATTTCAAACATTTGTGAACTACAAAAACTTCAGATAAATAAGCTGTATGGCAATCTAGTACTAATATACCTAAACTCTTCAGTCTAAAATCCATTCACAATAATAAATGTTAATAATGCCAAATAAAATATAAAATACAGAACTTGTGACTTTTTCAGGGTGCTGGTACTTCTCTGGTTATGCTATAGGAAACAAAAAATTGTACATAAAGGAATAATGTTTTTGAGATTCCTAATGAAGAAAAGAGAATTTTTAGATGTATGTTGTAATTTCCTATTCAGGAAGACAATCATTCAAACTGAAATGACCATAGCACATGGGTTTTTTATTCTTCCATATATAATACTAGCTTTATAGGTGAAGGCAATGAGACTTAAGAGACTATGTTACCTAATAAGTGCTGAAAGGAACAGAACCCCAAATCCAAAGCAGAGCTGTGGCCATCTCTTTCCACTCCCATGCTGAATCACAACAAAAAAAAGGCCTGTCCTCTGGAGACTGTACACAAAGCACTGAGTGACCTCTGTCAACCAGAGGTGACTATCATAATCAGAGCTAGGAAATGCATAAAAGAATGGCCTTTTCAAGATCAACAGTTTATATTACTTTATTAATATACAGAAGAACGAACGAAGGAGAACACTGCATAATTCCTAAGCCCGCAGGTTCCAGGCTCTGCTCTGTAGTCAGACCTATAGCAATGTGTGGGTATGGTCAGTACCCCAGTAAGGAGGCTTCAATTCAAGCTCTGCTTTCTCCTCTAGATACAAGGTTTGAAACCTCTCAAGGTCTCATTTCCTTGGTTGTATTAACTAGTGAAATCCTTCTGGCTTTGAAATTACATACACTTTGTAAAATTTATGGAGAGAGTTAAGAGACAAAGTGAGCAAACCATTCTGAACAGCATCAGAAAGTAACACTAAATACAAACTGGAAAGCATCTTTTCCTTAAAACAAATAAAACAGAATATACCCTCTGACAAAACTGCAACACTGATGTTTAATATCAGCAAAGATACCTTTTACACCCACTTGGGAGACTTTCTTTTGGGCCTTTCTCAAACATTAGTGAAGAGAGAACTTAATGAATCATTCAACTGCTCTGGGAATGAACCTCATTTCTGAAGTATTTCAGATTAAATCATTTTACAGTAAAAATTCAGGGCCATTCCTTCTCCATCCAAAAGATTCCACTTTACCTCCAGAACTTGTTGTTGTTGTCGTTGCTGTCGTAGTTGCTGCAGCTGCAGCCACTGCTGAAGACTGAGGAGCCCCAGTACTAGCTGCTTGAGGGGGGTCAACCACAGCCTGACTTTCTCTATCTCCAGGGATTCCCTATAACAGAATTTCCAAGCTTTAAGATATCCCTTCAGGCAAAATTAAATATTATACAGAGTAAAAGATTTATAGTCTATTTAACATCTTGTCTGATTTTCAAAAGCATCAAACAGACGTCTGCTTCAATTAAAAGTAAAGGATTATTAAGCTGCATGGATTAAAATTAGATTAGAAATGACCTGGGTGTATTATAGAAAAACCCACATTGCTGTAATAATGCAAAGCAGCACTGTCCAGCAGAACTTTCCATGATGATGGAAATTTTCCCTGTGTTGTCCAATAAGATGCCTACCAGGCACACGTAATTGGCGTCAAATCTGAAAAATATTGATACATGTACCTTCTCAAAACTGAACATAACCAAAGGTTTTTGTGCCAGCTATTACTTCAGTTGACTTTTTAACTTCTTAGAAATCTTCATCAGCTGTTACTCAGTGACAAAAAGGATTGAATTTGCAACCCTAGCTTAAGATAATCCAAAAAAAGAGTTTTTTGATGCACATTTGACAGTTCTGAAATGACTCCTGGGGAAAAAATATCTAATGGATACAGACCAGGTACACAGCGGTCAGGCAGGAGGATCTCCTCTACTGATCCATGGTACTGAGTAAGTGTCACTCAGAAGTATCTCATAAATTTGACATACTTTTGAGTAAAGCGTTTCTTTGAGAAAGTGTCAAAGTATCTCATAAATATGAGCTACTCAAGTATCTTCAAAAATTTAATTTTTCAAAATGCACAAAATCGATCTAAAATAAACTGAAACCATTTAGTTTTTAGGTGATGCCTTTTGTAAGTTTATAGTACTTATCTTTTAAAGTTATTAAGAGCTTAAAACTGCATGCACTAAAATCTTTTGGGACATCTATTTTGATGCGCATGATTGATAAGACTTGTCATTTAAAAATTTAAAAAAGTCTTTTTCAAGTTCTTACAGATTTTGAAAAGAAGAGAATAAAGAACCAAGTATTACAATTGAATAAGATGATAAATGCTTCCATTTCCTAATAAGCCAGAAGCCAAAAGCAACAACATATAAAGGATGAAGGGCAACACAGCAGGAAAATGGCTGCATGCATTAGATGTCACTCCAGGCATTAAAACCAATGTTTTTGAATGAGTTCATCATTTCAAACCCTTAACTTAGATAGGCAGTTATTTAAGTGCTAACAAACTACATACAAATTTAGGATCCAGAGTATCCATCAAATTCTGTTTTATTAAACTAAAAAGTTAATCTTCATTGCTACAGATCAACCTCTATTCTCACACATGTTACATAGCCTCTTATTAGGTAAGTGCTCAACATTTCTTCTTTCCACCCATTCACCTTATCTGTTAACTAGTAACAGTTAAAGGCAACTTTTCCCCTCCAGTCTATGAAACAAACAGCAAACATATAAAAAACATTTTAGTTATAAATTGTTTGATGAACTCATGACTCATCTATTTATTTGCATTTGATGCTATACAGCAGTTTTAGCATTTGGCAACTTTGGTAACAATGATTCTTTTTTTTTATACCTCAAAACTCCACATCCATTAGATCACAATAACTGATACTGTTGAACTTATGCAGAATTCTAAATCAGGTGTAAATGAAAGCCACTCCATAAAAGCTAATACTTTTATACAATCTGTTTAGGGTATGCACCCCTCACCAAACAAATTCACAACAATCAATTCCAGAATTCCAAACAAACTGGATAAACTGCCAGCATTTAAAGACACTACTCAAGAAGACAATGAAAAAGGGAATTTAGAAAGATAAAATAATATGCTAAGAAAAGTTTTTGTGAACTTCACATCCAAATGCATGGCAAATAAATGGTGGAGGCAGAGTACAGTTATGAGGCTTATAACTGACTCTTCTGAAACTAGCCAGCTACCTGAAAGGAATTTTTAACAGAAGTACAACTTAGACACAAAGGACAACCTACACATAAAGGAATGGGTTAAACTGTGGATTAATTGACAAAAGAGTTAACTCTAAGATACAAAAAGAGCAACTCTAAGATGGTATTTAGGGCAATTCAGACTTTGATAATACTCCAAAACACCAGACAATTATAGAATAGAAGATTTTTTAAAAGTTAATTCAATTACTTTAGCCTGTGTCACATCTGTAAAACTAGCAGACTTTCATCTTAATACCAAGTGTTTCAATGTCCACAACAATCTATTTCTCAAAAACTCCCATTACCAGTAAAAAAAGAAAACCTTATTCAAAAAGTCCCTCAACTCCCACTGACTATAAAAACAAATTCAGATGCTAACGGAACCAGGTAAGTAACATCATTCGTTAAATGCGTGATGTTACATTGGTAACAGAGTGAATCAGAGGATAATGAATTAGATTCTATGATCTAAAATATTTTCCTTAATCCCTTGCAAAAATCTGGGATCCAAAGTTGTCCAGATAAACCAGAAATCTGTACTTATATGTGAAATTTCCCAGATTTTAAAAAGCTGGCAACTTATTACAGATATATACACAGTATAAGCAAAAGAATTTGGCCCGGACTCTCAAGCTTAAAATTTTTGTTCTTAATAATTCATGCACAGTGGTACCTAAAAAGCTACTACAATGCTGGACCACTATATTAAAAAATATTACATTTTATCAACACAAAATTACAAACATACTAGAAAAAAAAGCACTGTGTATCATCTAGCATATATCATACAGGTGAAGTGGTCCTTTAAAATCTGTTTCTTTGAGATTTTGATCTTAAACAACTAGAATGAAGTAAAGTAAAACATGTTTCTCACCATTAAAAGATACTCCACTGCTCTGTCAGGGTTGTTGAAACTGGCTCTCAGGGCTGCAATTACTTGCTCTCGTTCATAGCCCATTGACATGATCTCAGTTACCATATTCTCGTAAGACTGACCCGTCACTAAAAAGGGAGGGTGGAGGGGAAAGAAAAGGAACATTTAATAAGCATTCTCTATACATTTCTTGATTCATGTATACAACATTTCAGGCACAACTGTGCTAGGAATACAAAGATGAGTAACAGTATAAATTACAACATATATATAGTAGGTAATGGTCCCCCAAAGATGCCCTCCGGTTTGATTCCTGGAACCTATAAATAGACTACATGGCAAACGGAAATTGAGGTTATAGATAAAATTAAGGTTGCTAATCAGCTGCCTTTAAGATAGAGACCTCATTCTGGATTATCTAAGTGTGTCCAGCATAATGACATGAATCCTTAAGAACAGTAGGAGGAGGCAGATGAGAGGGTCAGAGAAACAGGTGTGAGGAGGAGGAGACAAAACTAGGATGAGAGATGTTATGCTGTTGCCTTTGAAGATGGAGAAAGGGGCTACCAGCCAAGGTATGTGAACAGTCTCTAGAAACTGGACAGGATCAGGAAAAAAACTCTTCCCTGGAGTCTCCAAAAAGGAACTCCAGCTCCTTAATTTTAGTACAGTGAGCCCTGTGTCTCACTTCTAACCTATAGTACTAGAAGATAGTTAATCTGTGTTGTTCTACACCATTAAGTTGGTGTTAACTTACTACAGTAGCAACAGGAAACTCATATAATACGTTTCAGAGTATAATAGAAAAATGAGGTACAAAGGTAAGGGAGAATCAGGAGGTCAAAGAAGGCAACTGGTAAGAAGAGACACTGAATTCTGAAAACATGCTGGGGAAGGGATGGCATTTCAAACCATCAACTCTGATGCAACAAGTTCAGTTTCCCTTTGATACCTTATATAGCTAAAACAGTGGGGAAAGAGGTTAGGAGCTAGAAAGTTAAAATCTTGTACACTATACAAAGTTGGTAAAATGCCCTAAGCGCTAATATTCCAACAAGTCACTTCTTACAGACTCCTATGCTCCCTCCTCTCAGCACAGACAACACTCTGAATAAATGAAAGTTATTTTCCTCATAAACTTACCTTACTTAAACTATTGTCTCTTCCGCTTGTGTTCTGGGGACCATTACCAAACTGGATTTTGTTATCCTCTCTTCTCCACCACCATCTTTCCCTCTCTGTGTAATTATCCTGGGTCAGTAGTTAACTATGTCCTATATTTCACCCTAAAACAAAAACACACCTCCCTCCTTTGACTTCATCCTAATTCCTCTTTGAGGAACCATCTGCTCTCTTCCCATCACAGCCACAGCTATTGAACATGTGTCCACTTTCTCACATTCCACTCATTCCTCAACTAATTGCAATTCAGATTTCCCTCTCAAATGTGTCCCACCATTATCTGTTCGCTCTCTTTAAACAAATGACACCTCTATTCACCTCCTAAGTGCTTGAACAGAAACCCTGGGGATTTCAGTTCCTTTTCCTCTTCCTTCCACACCTCATTTACCAGCATACCTGTTAAGTTCTATCTCTAAATTACACCCCAAACCCACCTCTTCATTCTCTACTATCATCACTGAAGACAAGCCCACAACAGTCTCTACATGGGATTACACCATTTCCAACTCTTGTCTCCATATCTACAATCTATTCTTCAGCCAGTTGCAAAAGTCAACACACACACACACACACACACACACACACACACAAAACCCCTCATCTCATTTCTGGCTCCCAGCCCTCAACAATGCTCCACCCACCACACTCAGCTGGCCACACCTTTTCCTGCCTCAGGGCCTTTACACAACACCAGCCATCTTTAGATGGCCAGTTCCTTCAACATGCTTCAGTTCTATATTTAAAAGGTATTGCCTAGCCATCCCAGGTAGCCTTCTGCTTTTTCTTTAGGGACGCCCTTTGTGTTCTTAATATCATTTATCTTTTTTTCTTTTAATGTTTATTTTTTTCTTGCCCCAACTGAATGCAAGTTTGTGCAGAAAACCACGCCATTTTGCATATTTCCCTGATACACAGCTGACACCGAGTATCTGTTGAATAAATTTTTCTGCAGAATTTTCCAAATAAAGGTGTTTAATAGCTAAAAAACCCCTAAATATCACAAAAAGATTAATCATTTGATATCTTGTTTAAAATAATGACTTTCCTTTTCCCATCCCATAAAACAATAATTTTTAATTATTTATTTTCTTATCTGATATAATTCAAGCACAAAGCAACTCAAGTAGCAATACACTTTCAGTAACCCAATTCCCAGATACAGAAATCAGTATCAATACAACTGAAATTAAGAGCTACAGAAAATCAGAACTGCACTATTTTAACATGGTGTTTTTCTTTTAGTCCTCTCTACTTCATAAGAAAGGTTTAATTTCAACTCCTTTAAAAGATGAGGAGGTTACAGCTTGGAGAGATTAATAATTTGGTAAAGGCCAGGCGTGGTGGCTCACTCACGCCTGTAACCCCAGCACTTGGGAGGCTGAGGCGGGCAGATCACGAGATCAGGAGATCAAGACCATCCTGGTCAACATGGTGAAAACCCATCTCTACTAAAAATAGAAAAAAATTATTTGGGCATGGTGGCACGTGCCTGTAGTCCCACCTACTCAGGAGGCTGAGGCAGGAGAACTGCTTGAACCCCGGAGGCAGAGACTGCAGTGAGCCAAGATCATGCCACTGCACTCCAGCCTGGTGAAAGAGCAAGACTCTGTCTCCAAAAAAAAAAAAAAAAAAAAAAAAAAAGGTCAAAGTATTAAGTCATGGTGCAGAGATACAAACACACACAGGCTGACAGTGAAGTCTCCACACCTAATCATTATACTATGACTCCTAAAATCATGTTTCCTAGTTAAATTATAGAATCTCAAAAAATACTTATCAGCAGTGTGATACTTTTTAGATCTTAAAAGTCCAAAGGCAAATGACTTGTAAAAAGAACTAGAGAGGCTGGCATGGTGGCTCACACCTGTAATCCCAGCACTTTGGGAGGCCGAGGTGGGTGAATCACCTAAGGTCAGGTGTTCAAGACCAGCGTGGCCAACGTGGTGAAACCCCATATCTACTAAAAACACAAAAATTAGCTGGGCATGGTGGCAGGTGCCTGTAATCCCAGCTATTTGGAAGACTGAGGCAGGAGAATTTCTTGAACCCAGGAGGCGGAGGTTGCAGTGAGCTGAGCCTGCGCCACTGCACTCCAGCCTGGGTGACAAAGACAGAGAGTGAGTCAAACAAACAAACAAACAAACAAACAAACAAAACAAGAGAGACTGGACAAGAAACAGAGTAATGAGGCCAAAGAGGTGGTGATGAAGAACTTTATATATATGCCATTCAGAATAAGCTTTGATCATATTACCTGACTTCAAATACTATTACCAGGCTATTGTAATCAAAACAGCATGGTACTGGTATAAAAACGGACTCATCGATCAATGGAACAGAATATAGAACCCAGAAATAAAGCCGCATACCCTACAACCAAATTAATCTTCAACAAAGTCAACAAAAACATGCAACGGGGAAAGGACACCCTATTCAACAAACAGTGCTGGGAAATTGGATAGCCATATTTAGAAGAATAAAACTAGACCCAGACTTCTCATCAAACACAAAAGTTAACTCAAAACAGATTAAAGCCTAAATATTAAGACCTGAAACTACAAAAAACCGAGACGAAAACCCAGATAAACTCTTCTGGACACTGGCATAGGAAATCTAATAAAGTGTTGTTATCTAGAACTTAAACATCAAGAAAAAACCAAATAACTCCATTAAAAAGTGGGCAAAAACCGTGACTGGACATTTTTCAAAAGAAGACATACAAGTGGCCAACAAACATGAAAAAATGCTCAACATCACTAATCATCAGAGAAAGGCAAATTAAAACCACAATGAGATGCCCCATCTCACACCAGATGTCAGGCAAGGATGCAAAGCAAATGCTTACATACTGCCGGCAGGAATGTCAATTAGTACATCCTTGATGGAAAACAGCACGGAAATTTCTCAAAGAACTTAAAAACAGAACTATCATTTAATCCAGAAATTCCACTACTATGTATATACCCAAAGGGAAATAAATCATTATATCAAAAAGATACCTGCACTTGTTTGTTAATCATGGCATTATTCACAATAGTAAAGATATGGAATCATTAAATGGAGGATGAGATAAAGAAAATGGGGTGTGTGTGTAAAAGTACTCACCCATCAAAAATAATAAAATCATGTCTTTTTTACAGCAACATGGATAGAACTATGGAGGCCACTATCCTAAATGAAATAACTCAGAAACAGTCAAATACCACATGTCCTCGCAAGTTGGAGCTGAACCATAGGCACACATCATATAGAATGGAATAATACACACTGGAAATGACAAAAGGTAGGGAGCGGAGTGTGGGTTCAAAAATTTCCTGTTTGGTACAATAAATGTTCATTATTCAGGTGATGGCTACACTAAAAGCCCAAACTTCACCACCACGTAATATATGCATGTAAGAAATCTGCACTTGTACTCTCTAAATATATACAAATTTTAAAAATTAAAAAGAATAAGCTTTGGACTTACTTTCTAGGTCATGAGGAACTATTAAAGGAATTAACAAAGACCCCATCAGAGTTGCTTTTTAGAAAATACACTCTGGTAAGGAAGAGGTAGACCAGGTGGATAAGGATAATGCAAGAGTATAAGTGAAATAAGGACCTGAACTAAGGCAACTAAATGACAGTGAAAACAAATATTCCAGAGACTTTAAGAGAGGGAGTCATTAGTAACTGTGGAATGAGGGGAGGAAGTGGAAGGGGGAAGGAGGAAGGAAGAAGAAAGAGAGGTCAGAGAGGAGAGGAGAGAAAGGAAAAGAAAGAGACTCACTGGGCCAAAAGAGGCAGAGGGTGGATGAATGAATGATGGTACAAGTAAGAAGGGAACAAAAGGAAAGACTCAGACTGGGGAATAAAAAATGAGTCAGTTTGAAACCTACAGTCATGGAGGTTCTAAGTTTTCTAGTTGACAATGTCAAGATACGAGTTTGGGAGTTCAGAGGGAGATCTGTACTGCAGCTATAATTTGGGGAATCTACATAGTATATGGACGGTATTGGTCATTCCCATAGTTTGAACTATGGCCTAGAATGGAACCATAGAAAACTCATACATTTAATAGGTAAAATAAAAGAATTAACTGGCCGGGCACTGTGGCTCACGCCTGTAATCCCAGTACTTCGGGAGGCCGAGGCGGGCAGATTACAAGGCCAGGAGATTGAGACCATCCTGACTAACACAGTGAAACCCCGTCACTACTAAAAATACACAAAATTAACCAGGCGTGGTGGCATGTGCCTGTAATCCCAGCTACACAGGAGGCTGAGGCAAGGAGAATTGCTTGAACCCGGGAGGTGGAGGTTGCAGTGAGCCAAGATCACGCCACTGCACTCCAATCTGGGCGAGAGAGCGAGACTATATCTCAAAAAAAAAAAAAAAAAAAAAGAAAGAAAGAAAAGAGAAGAAAAGAAAAGAAAAGCTTGAGAAGGAAGAGCCTGAGGTATGGATCAGGAAGAGTGGTGTCACAGAAGCCAAAGAAGGAAAGTTTAAAGAAGCAAAGTTAATTTGTGCAGCAACAAGATAAATCAGAATAAAATAAAAAAGCAGGGAATCAACATAGAGACTTGGGTAAATTAAAGATGAAAATGTAGAGGGATCCTGACACCATAAAGTTGAGAATGGGAAGTAAGACACAGTCACAGAGGCTTGAGTGTAGCAGCAGCAGCTACAGCATGGCCTCCCAGGCTCCCACTCAGGAGCATCAATGCATTACAGCTGCAGCAGCAGTGACCACAGCCAGAGCCTTCAGCACCATTAGCCGCAAGTGCCAGCTGGCTCCAGCCCCGAGGCCACAGACAGTTTACTGATCTCTGGGTAATCCTATTCTCCAGCCCTTCCAATTCCTAACAATTTCCTGAGATTAAGTCTTTCCCTGTTTGAAATAGAGTGGTTTCTATTTTCCTGGCTGGAGACTAACTCATACTGTATTTGATAGCAGAGTGTTTTAGGACACTATTCCTCAAAGATGAAAATCTGGGGTTGGCACACCCAGGCAATCTTAGATAATTTAAACTACTGTTTTGCTACTATATGTACATGCCATTTTCCATGGCAATGAGGGCATCATGGAGTTCCAGCTCAACTAGGTCAGAGAACCAACTCAGATGCTAGGAGGTGGTACTGCTGCTGGAACTCTGCTGCTATAGAAGCTAAGCAGGAATCCAGAGCCTGTACTGCACCAAAGCTGCTGTTTCTACCTATTCCTCGCTTTCTCCCTCCCTGCCATTTAAGAGTACCAAACAGTAGGAATGGAGTTGCCAGCCAATAAACCGGTAATTAGCAGGAACTATATCAGAGATGCTACAATTGGAGAAAAAAGGTGCTTCATTTTGATAGACTGGGGTGATGGGAGATGGAAAGGCATTATTCAGCAGGTAAAAGTTGGGATAAAAAAGCATTTTTGCTGCAAGCCAATGCAAGCAACATGATATAGATGTGAATGTACAGTGCCATCAAGTTGGAATTAAGTCTGAAGGTGAATACACATGAAGTGTAAGACAGATCTAGAAAAATGTCATACCCATTTCAAAGACCCTTTGTAATAAACCCATACACAGATCAACCATGTTAGGATCACATATAAAATTTCCATCTGGAAAATGGAAATTTATTTGCTTTAACCAAGTATGCTCAACTCAGAGCAAGTTTTAAATAACTCAATACATAAATATTAATTTAAAAGTCTTTAGTAACACTTAATTGAATAATTACTTAATTCAATCATTTTACAGCTTGATTATAAATAACCATGCAAATTATTAACACTTTTATCACGATCTAGAAAAGTGAAGCCTCTTACCTGTCTCTTTACAAGTTGTTTACAAGGAAAAGTAGATACTTACCAAGTGCACTCGTTGCATCTTCAAAAAGGTTTGATCGAGAAGAATCTCCCGATGTACTGTAAAAGGATTTTAGAACAATCACATTTTAAAAAGTATATATAATTTAATTTACATTAGTTTAGTAACTATCCAATTTGTAAACAGATTCTTTGATTTTAATTAAATATAAAAGTCTGACTACAGTATTTAAACTGTCTCTTCTAGATTAAATCCAAAAGCTTTATCTACAACATTTGTGGCTTGGGAAAAATTTTCAATCTTGGTATTCCTCCTATTCTGAGAATCCATCATTTTAAATGTCAAAATATATAGAATAATATCCTAACAGACAGCATCTACTGAATACAAAAAAGATAATGCACAATTATTTACCTGAAGTAATTTACATGAGAAGTTAAATAATTTATAAATCAAGTCACACCAGAAGAAATATCAAAAGCAGTATAAAGTAAAATAGCACATGGAGGAACCAAATCAGGCTATAGTCTTTACATAATGAGATCTTACAGATAAGTTCTGAACGAGGACACTGAAAGAAGACATTCAAATAAAGAAATATAGCATATGCAAAAAAAGTAGATATGGGTTAAATCCAAGTTTGAATGTAATGAAAATCAGTGTAAAAAGATTAAGTTTCTGTTGGGAAACTACAGAGAAGTCTGCAATAAAAGAAAATTATGAAAGACCATGAAGAGCAGGCCAAAGAAAAATAAACTTAAGTTTACAACAGTGGTAAAGGTAGTAGTTGCAAGTTTAAATTAAAGAAGACACGCATAAACACTTAGACCTGAGTCTCAATTAAAAAAAACACCCATTATATTTCAGTTCTGAGAAAGCCCTTGGTAGTATATAGTAAGAGCAGAAAACCCAAGTTTGGATTCGTAAATTACTGAACCTTTCTAAGCCTGTTTCTTCATCACTACAATGGTCAATGATAGTATCATATACTCCAGAGTGTTGTGGGTAGGGCTACACTAGTAGACTGCTTAGCAAAGTGCCTGGCATCATAACACCCAATATGAGTATTATGATTAATATAATCCTTTGGTATAATTTTTAAGTTCTTCATTAAATATACTGTAAAACTAATACAGAGAAAATAAAATTTCAAAAAGCACAATATATAAAAACTAAATTTTCCTACCTCTAACCCAGAGACCACCACTATGACACCAATTTCTATTTAAAAGAATAACAATTTGCGTCTTAGTTTTTTTGTTGTTTTGTTTTTTAAGCTTTTGTGTTTAACTTAACAATCATTCTATGTCGGCACAATCAAATCTACTTCAATTTCTTCCCACAGATGCACAGTATTCCATTTAAAAGACCAAATTAAGCTCTTATTAAGGAATGTGTAGTTTGGTTTCCTGCATTTAAATTCTTCCTGTAGTCAAATTTATCAATCTTTCCTGTTACAACTTTTTTTGTTGTTGTTGTTGTCTTGCTTAGGAATGACTTCGCAAAGTGAAGATTATTCTTTCGTTCCCTTGTTCTCCATTAGTTTACGGCTTTTCTTTTGCATTAAATCCGTATCCATCTGTAATTTATTTTTGCAGGTGTATAGTATGAGGGGTCATTCTTTTTTCATTCCAGATGATGAGATCTCAACAGCATTTTCCCCATATTGTTCTGAAATTGTATCTTTATTTTCTATTAAGTTCCTGTATCTATTTGGGTCTATTTCTCAGCTATTGTTGATTTCCCTGACCAATCTTTGTAATATGAGTCATTCCAAACTGTTTTAATCACTACTGTATAATACATTTTAAAATCCGGTAAGACTCGTCTCCCTCAGAATAATTTACACTATTATCACACATTGTCTTTAAGAAGTTCTCTTTAAACACCACAGATAAGACTGGGTGTACTTATACTTTAACCACTATTCTTTAATCTTGATTCTGTCTCACTACTTCTCCCCTCTCCAACCACAGAGGAAACCACTCATCAGTTATATGTCAATGCTTGCCTACTTCTCTTCTACACATTAACATGCATGCCCACAGAAAATGTATGATGTTGTTTATGGGTTTTGTCTGGTTTATGGTTATCGCCTATACTCTTTTGCAACCTGCTTTTTTCACTCAATAACAAAGCCTCAAAACCACACTTATTTAACATGTTTATACAGTACATACTTTAACTGTCTTGCAGTATCAGATAGCGGGGTTTCTCAAATTTTACAAAGTTCAAGAATCCCAAGTATTCACCAGGAGGGCTTGCTGATTTCTGGGATCCACTCCCAGATAACTCTGATTTACAGGTCCAGGGTGGCCCAAGAATTCATGTCAAACACACACCCAGTGATGCTGATGTGGCCTATTGACAACTACACTTTGAGCAGTCCTATTCTCTACTACAAATAAACCACAGGTCAATTTAGGATTCCAATTTGTCCTTTAATTACAAACAATACGGTCATGGGCACAAGTGCAGTTCCTCTCAGGTAGATATCAAGTGGAATTTGCACTGTAACAGACAATTTTTAAAAGAACAAAATTGACCTAAAGAAACAAATCCCTAATAACAAACGTCAGGTCAATGGTCATAAACAGACTTCCTGACATTCCACAAACTCTTATCAGCTTATCTCCTGATAATTATTCACTAGGTTTTGTGTTTCACAGGACAGTAGATATTTTCCACTAAAGATAAAGGAACTAAGACACATTTAAGCAGCTTATTTTCTGAGTTTCTCTCATTCCTCTCTTCCTATATTTCTCTGAGGTAAAATTTTCAGAAATAAGAATAAGCAGTTGGCATACAAAGTCCAACTAAGAAACTCTAGTATCTGCTTTCTGGGATCAATGACCATCAAGTTACTCACGCAACTTCTGTAGGTCTGAAAAGATAATCCTGGCTCTTTTTAGAATAACGTTAAGTAAAACTGCAACTCCGGGAAGAAAATAAAAGTAGAGTTAATGGGCTGGGCGTGGTGGCTCACGCCTGTAATCCCAGCACTTTGGGAGGTCGAGGTAGGTGGATCACCTGAGGTCAGGAGTTCAAGACCAGCCTGGCTAACATGGCGAAACCCCTTCTCTACTAAAAATACAAAAATTAGCTGGGCGTGGTGCCATGCGCCTGTAATCCCAGCTACTCAGGAGACTGAGACAGGAAAATCGCTTGAACCCGGGAGGTGGAGATTGCAGTGAGCCGCGATCGTGCCACTGCACTCTAGCCTGGGTAACAGAGCGAGACTCTGTCTCAAAAAAAAGAAAAAAAAAAGAGTTACTGAAGAAACAAATTTAAATCTATGGCATTAGTACATTAAAATGTATTGATCAACTTTAAAATTCTCACACTGTAAGTTTTTTTCAAAGGAGCTTAAAGCAATTAAGAGAATAAGATGTACTGTGCCGAATGACTTAAGACGTATTAAGTTTGCAATATTTAAGTGCTTTGGTGAACCAATTTTTTAAATTTCTAAGTTCCCTCTCACACACAGACCTGATCAACAGCTCTGTGATGTAACAGCTTAACCTGACTCTACGTGGTATCCACTAGGATAAGATGGTTGAATGCATTTCTAGTTGTACATGGGAAAGATGGATCAAGTTAGGCAATGGTGTCACAGAATACTTAAATCAGTGTTCTAGGCAAGTAACAGCGCAAATATTTTATTGCCCTAAACCCATGTTATCTTCTTAGGGAATCAATTCTTTAGAAAGAGACCCCTGAGTAAGCAATAAATCCGGTGGCTCAGACTCCTCCAAACACGGTTGACTAAGTTAGACACAGAAACCACACTCAAAGGCAGAACACTAAAATGAAGGATCACAACTGTATCTTTCTGATCATTGTTATATATATCTTAACCCCTTTCCATGTCTGTTAACCCTTCCAGTCACTGCACAGTTTTCCACTGTGTCTGATTCTGACTGCAAGGATCATATAGCTACTACCTCTGAGGTCCTGAGTTGCTCTAAGTCACAAAGCACAAACAGCTGTAGTGCCAGTGAAGGCTGGTCATAATATAACTCATGCTCTTAGATCAAGGAATTGTGCTGAATGATTTCCAACCAAGAGACCTCTCTGACTTAAGCATTTGGTCATTTTACCTGATCATCTGGGGAGGAAAAAAAAAAAAATCTTGTCTTAAACTGCTCAATAATCCTAACTGCCTAAGTAGCCACTTAGTTGAGGTGTGTCTGCTGTCAACTTCCCACAAGAAATTATCTCTTGCTCCTCAAATATCCCAACACTCTTTTCCCTTTTTCCCCTAAAGATCTACACAGGCAGAAGCTTGAATTTCCACACAAGTTCACAAAGATACAGATACAACAGTGAAAAATTGAAACAATCCATAGGTTCAGGTTACAAGAGCTAACAAATGTCAGAACCAAACACAATGTATAAACTACCGGAAAGATTTACTAACATGGAAGGATGCTTATGATATATATGACAATGACCACAAAGAATACAGATCAAGTAGAAATGATGATTAGGGTGGCAATGTCATGTTATAATCCTTGACTCATTTTGGTTATTTGTATTTCCTAACGTTTCTACTAAAAAATGATTTTCACCTGCTCTCTCCTTCCCACTGCACCCCACCCTGCCCAAGTCAACAGAGTACAGAAATCTGATTATGAAAATTTGTACTTATATTTTCCTTAGCAAACTATCAAAATAGACACAGCATATGTTTTAGTCAAACGTTTAAAAAAGGCTTAACATAGTAGATACAGTCAGTTTAATCAAAACAATAATCAAAATAAATGCATGAAGTTCCTGTTAAACACGGATTTTGAGATAGAATTTCCTAGAATCCAGTTCCTACCTGTCAGTTGCTGTTGGGCTAGTAGCTACTGGTGTCTCTGCTGGCTTTTCTGCAGGTTTCTCTTGTTTAGTTGCACTAGCAGGTGCAGGTTCAGAAGACACTGTCGCTGATGCTGGAGTGATGGATGCAGGTGTAGAAGTGGGAGCCAAAGCAGGGACGGGGGTTGGAGCCTGAGCCACAGTTGTTGCGGTAGAGGAAGTAACGGCTGTAGTGCTGGCAGGAGCTGACTGCTGAGTTGTAGCTGGTGCTGGTGTGGACACTGCTTTGGGCTAAACACATTAAAAGGCAAAATAAATTACGATAAAATACTACATATTGACATCTCTAATTACACTATACCGTTACAGGATGCCACAAACATAGCACTAATAACAACCTGCAACTTGAAAATAATTTTGTAAAATGACACAATAAATGATCAATATTAGCAGTCTGACTCATGGTTACTCTTTCAAAGCTCATGAGAGCATATGTTAATCTTAATTATCAACCACAATTAATTTTACCCAACAATTTCAGTCTTCATATCAAGTTAATATAAAAAGTCAAAAATTTGAAATACAGTATGTGTGTGTGTGTATATATATATATAAAACAAAAAAGAAAACTGTATCATTTTCCCAAAAAAACTTTATGTACCTGAGTTGTAACTTTAAAGTACCTAATACCACTTAAAAGCATTACCAAAATAATTTTCTTTAAAGACAGGGTCTTGCTACATTGCCCAGGCTGGTCTTGAACTCCTGGCCTCAAGCAATTCTCCCACCATGGCCTCCCAGAGCACTAGGATTACAGGCATAAACTACTACACCCAGCCCAAAATAATGTTCTTGAAATGGCAGTATAAATGTTTATTTACAAACATGTCAAATATTCTGTCGTACTGTATTTTAGAAGAGGGAGGAAAATCTCAAAACTGACTACAAATCAACAGGTCCAAGTACAAAAAGGTTCACAATACTTTGAGATGCATATGTAGATAAGCAGAAAAATGAAGGCCAAATTAAGTTACCTCCACATGCTCAGCACTTTCTGAACTGGAAGTAGAGCCATAAAGCTTTCCACAGAGCAAAAAAACAATTAGTTGACCCTTGAACAACAAGGGTTTGAACTGCACTGGGTCCACTTATATGATGATTTTTTTCAATATAAGTTACACTGAGTGTGCCTGTCTCTCCTTCTACCTCCTCCACCTCTACCACCTTGAGACAGCAAGACCAACCCTTCCTCTTTCTCAGCCTAGTTAGTGTGAAGACAAGGATGAAGACCTTCATGATGATCCACTTACACTTAATGAACACCAAAAATATTCTCTCTTGTGATTTTCTTTGTTTTGTTTTGAGAGAGGGTCTCACTCTATCTGGAGCCCAGACTGGAGTGCAGTGGTGTGATAACAGCTCCTTGCAGCCTCAACCTCTCAAGGCTCCTGCCTCAGTCACTGCCCCCGCCCCCACCACCAGGTAGCTGGGACTACAAGCTCACACTACCACTCCCCTCTAAATGTTTTGTTTTTTGTTTTTTTGTAGAGACAAGGTTTCACCATGTTACCCAGACTGATCTCCAACTCCTGAGCTCAAGCAATTCGCCCACCTTGGCCTCCCAAGGTGCTGGGATTACAGGCATCAGCTGCCATACCTGGCCATGATTTTCTTAGTAATAGTTTCTCTAGCTTACTTTAATACAGTATATTATACATGTAACATACAAAACATGTATTAATCCACTGTTTATCAGTAAGGCTTCTGGTCAAGAGTAGGCTATCAGTAGGTAAGTTTTGGGCGAGTCAAAAGGTATATGCAGATTTCTGACTGTAGGGGAGAGGCTGGCACTTCTAAGCTCAGTGGTGTTCAAGGGTCAACTGTACATGTGTAAAAATCATACTACATGAGTTTTAGTTTTCTCCTAAGGCCTGTCAATGCTACCTGTTTAGTTCATAACTTTCCCAAGGACCAAAGGTAGATATTTTGGTGGAAGACAGGACTTAAATTCAACAAAATCTGCCACAAGCATGAACAAACTCTAAAACCAATAAGCTGAGCTGCCTTGTGTCTTTTTGATTTAATAAAGAAGACATTAGGAAAAAAAGGTTAGTGAAAGGTGATAAGTTTTTAAAAAATACTAGCATTACTCCCTTTTCCTATTTAGCTTAATTTTCTTAACAGCCAATATAATATTCTGCAGATTATTAACGTTCTAAAACTTCAATGAGCTGAAATCCTCAGGTCATTCTGGATCGACTGGAGCTTCACAAACATGAAAATTCAGAGTTTTAAGCACCAAAACTTTGTAATAACCAATCTAGATAAAAATGTACTTTTAAATGTGGTATACTCATTTAATATTCTCAATTATTTGTTATCAAAATAATATTGCAAAATGACTTATCTTCAAGGTTCCTACTGCCAAGAACAGCTATTTATTCTTTATTCTAAACAGTACCAAGTCCCTCTCTGCTTTTTAGTTTTTATTCTTGCTTTTGATCTTACTAGCTCTTTCCTTTCCCTTCTTTGTATTAATAAGGTCATTTCTCAGTGCTTCTATAATGCCTTACTATAGCAGCATTCCCTTCCTTCTTATAGTTGTCCTCTACTATTAACTTCAAAATAAAATAGTCATAAATATCATTAGAATCCTATGTACTATTAGGAATAAAAGACTTGAAGGAAAAACAAAAGAGTTGTATGTAATATAATAACAGGCTTCAAGTATCTATTCCTCAAATACACGCACCCTTTGAGACTTTTTCTGCTTAATTCTTGTGTTCTAAATAGTCAGGACTACTGTAATATTAAAAGAAACTAAGACCAGTAAGAAAACATATTTAAAAATGTGTGGCTATCACATTTTCCATTATGTACTATGTATGCTAAAACTAGATAGGAAAATACGACAGTATTCAGCAAATTCTGGCACATGCTATAACATAGATAGATGAACCTTGATAACATTATGCTAAGTGAAATAAGCCAGTCACAAAAAGACAAATACCATAGGATTTCACTTATATGATGGTGATAGCAGCAAAATAATGTAACTATAATGTTATTGAACTGTACACTTAAAATGATTAAACTGGAAGTTTGTTATTATATTTTACCATAGTTGAATAAAAAACCTAGATGATACAAGGTTTCCTTACGATTCTGCTTCTCTGTTTTTAAAGCTTAACATAGAGTGAGTTAAGTTCTTAAGTATAGCAAAATCAATATGGTTCTTAACAAATTAAAAAATGTTCAAGTTCAACACATGTAAATTATTTAGCTGCTTGTTTCCCAGTATAAAAGGATGTGGTAATTAAAATTTATTTCAACTCTATTTTCTATTACTATTAATTATTTTGTGACTTTGAGAAAAAACCCACATTTATTCCACTTTTGGCCTTTGATGAAGTGGTTTCAAATTAGTGATTTAAACTTATTTTCATTGCTACAAGTAACACTGTTCTTTCTCAGATTATGACAATCCAATCCTAAAAATGAATGTCATGCGTACCACTTCTCCATTTGTCTCCTAATTCTATACTGCATTATTATCTTTAAATAAACAAGTATATAGTCTCTTAAAAAAATCCATGTTCATTCTCTGCTTTAAAAAAAATTTACTTTCATAAATTGTTCCAAATACATTCCAGCCTACTAAATCACAAGAAAGTATCTGTTTAAAACTTCCTCACAAAAATCATTCCATCATTTCTTTAGTTGCCTTTTCCCTATTCTAGTTTCTAAAAACATGTTCTTTCACTAAGAAATATCACTGTAATAATAAGCTTTCATGTCTTTTCTGCCTTGAGGAATTTGTTAGGACTAGTACATAATTTAGCAAGTCTATTTAAGACAAACTTATGAAAACTACAGAATAAACATTTATTCCATTTATAAAGACATTTTAAAAGAATTATATAATAAATGATTTCACTACTCTGGCAAAAATAATTTTAACATTTTAAATTTGGATATCAAGTGTATTTTTAGTATACATTTTCCTGGTTAGTGAGGCTAGTTAAATCTATAATTCCTACTCTCATCCTTTTTGCTTTACTGGTCATCCTTTCCTTACTGATTTCTAAGAATTCTTTACATAATCTGAATATTAATTTTTTTCTTCCTATCGGTGTTTCAATTGTTTCAATTTACATAAAATTTTATTAAAACTATATTAAATTATAGTTTAATGTATAATAATGTAAACCATTAATAACTTTATGTTTCACTTAAGGTAAATTCTTAAAAAGCTTCATAGTAAAGTGCACACCACTAGGGATGTGTATAAACTGTGTCCATTGTGTGGACTTGGGGTCATCATTTTCAAAAAGACTTACATGCATAAACATATACAGAATGAAGTTGAAACTTACTTTGGTCACCATAACCACCACAAAGTTTTTCTCATCAATTTTGTATTCTTTGAGAGCAGTATCATCATTGAGGATTTTGCCTAATACATTAAGAGAAAAAAAAAATCATTTAAGGCATAATCTTTCTCTTACACATAAGTTAAAACAACTTTCCACTTGAAATATGATTATTTCAGAAATATTAAAATATGAATCACCAACATAAATTCTATCAGTCAGTACTTTTCCCAAAGAAAAAAACCAATCCATTGAGATAAAAATAAAACAATTCCTAAGTGGCAGGGTATGGTGGCTCACGCCTGTAATCTCAACCCTTTGGAAGGCTGGGGAGGGAATACAGCTTGAGGCCAGGAGTTTGAGACCAGCCTGGGCAACATGGCAAAACCCTGTTTATAAAAAAAAAATAATTCGAAATTAGCTAGGCACTGTGGCACATGCCTATGGTCCTAGCTACTTGGGCGGCTGAGGCAGGAGGATGACTTGAGCCAGGAGTTCAAGGATACAGCAAGCTATAATCACACCACTGCACTCCGGCCTGGGTGACAGAGCAAGACCCTCTCTCAAAATAAACAAAATTAAAAGGCATAAGCATTTAACTGAAAAATGTCAAACTTATATAGTGTATATAGAATGACAATCAATTTTTACAAATGTATTACTTCATTATATAAAGGACTTAATGGGCAAGAAAATATGAAAGAGACCCTGAAAAGGAGGAGATCATGAAGATAAAGAAAATCCAATACTCTGATTGCACAGGGGTCCTCTGGAAAATAACCTATATTCTTTTCTGATACGAAGAAGGGGAGAGAAACAAATTTCCTGCTCCCCAAAATACCGATTATCTGATAAATCAGAAATGTTCTAACACTATCAAAGCAAGATACTAAAAGTACTTCAGAAAACGACATGATACACAACAAAGGGCAAGATGCTACAGAACTCAGAAATGCACAAAGAAGTACAAAAGACTGTGATCGTGCTGAAGGTCACATATTAGGTAAGTAGGACTCCCTGATGTTTCCTGCTCCATGAATTTAGTGTTCCATCTTTAAAAAGCTATTGAATCAAAAGCTGCTAACATTAAGACAGAAAGGAATATGGATAGGAATGAGAAAACAGGCCAAAACGAGGAACTGGAAATTGGAATTATTCTTTAGGCTTCTAAACTCATATCTATAAAAATGGGACTGAATCACCGTGTTAGCATTTCCGCCAGGCTGTCTCACTTTAGGAAACACTATTCAGAAAAATAGAAGAATCCATGGGCGATCAAACACCCACCTTACTAACATCTACAACGAAAGCATTTTCTCTACTAAATTTGGATATCAAGTGTATTTTTAATATACATTTTCCTGGTTATTAGTGAGGCTAGTTAAATCTATAATTCCTACTCTTATCCTTTGTTGCTTTATTGGTCATCCTTTCCTTATTGACTTCTAAGAATTCTTTACATAATCCCCTTTTCTTCCTGTCAATGTCTTTCTGTGTGATGTGTTTTTTCGGTATTCTTCAGTCGGTTTTGGTTAAAACTTAATTTTACAGGAATGATTCCAAACATAGTAATAATAACACAATCAGTATAAATGGTTTCAATTAAATTTTTTAAAAAAGCTCAGTTTCATTAAAAACACAAAAGCCAGTTACATGATGCTTACAAAAGATGAAACAAAATACCGTTTGATGGAAAAATACATAGGGCAAATGTGAATAAAGAGAAGATTGAATATCAATATTAGATTCAAACGACTGCTCTTTCAATGCTTTTATTTGTACAATCATTTTTCTGACAATTTGAATATACTATAATATGTAAGATAACATTTCTAAAACTAAAAGAATATCAAGACATGGCATGTTAATTTTAATATTTAATTCATACCTGCATAAATTAATTTTTGACCTGCTACCGGAAAGGCATCTTTCCCCTTTTCAGATTCAATCTTCTCTTTCAGTGCTTTCACCTATAGGAAAAATAAAGATCTGTTTTGGAAAAAGTCTAAACAAAAAATGACAATCCAGAATCTGAATAAATAATGGAAGACAAAAATTATATACATAATTATTAATGCTTCCAAAACCTCAAAGATTGTTTTTCCAATTTGTATCAAAAAAGATTCAATATTAACTCATATTAGTTATGATAGGCATAAACTTTAACACCATCTGATACACACAGATTTTTAAAAATTTACTAGTTGACTTGATAATTTAAAATAAAGTTTTCAACATCAAAGTTTTTATTTATATAATGTTTATGGATTTATTTCCCACGGAGCAAGAAAGTAAAGCTCGATCACCTAAAAAGTCTCAGAAATAAAACAGTCTCATCAACAAGAAGAATACTTCAATGTTAAAGGTTAAACTGTGAATGCTAAAAGGCAAATAATTCATGTTAAGTTTTATGCTTCATTACAATCACCATGGGTGCTTTACAAACACCAATTAGAACATAATCTCTGAGGGTGGGACCTTGACATCAGTATTTTTAAAAAGCTTTACAGGTGGTTCCAAAGTTCAGCCCAGGCTGAAAACCACCAGACAACTTCAATGCTCTTAAACAAGCAGCTTAGCTTCTCTCAGAATCAGTTTCATCTATAAGAGGAGCTGGAATCCATGACCTTTAGAGTCTCTTCATTTCCTAAAATTGTGTGACAGTTAGGCTCATTATACAGTATTTAGAAAAACGAGTCTAATGGACTTCTTAACCTGTTAAGTAGGGAGGCACAGGAGTAAAAAAAAGGCAGAGATGGCTTTCTCATTTGCCTTTATAGAACTACTTTCATTAAAGACACAAGAACCAAGGAGAAAAATTCAAATTCCTTCAATTTCCCAGAACACTTCTTGAAAATTATCTAAGTTGACAGTTCTCTGAGTTTTAGACAGAAAAGGATACAAATATAGGTTTCTCTTCTACAATTAAAAAGTGATGGTGTGTACTTCAAAGATAAAAAAAGCTTATTTAGCTTCAAATGTTAACATACAATTTCACACAATCCTCAAAACTCTGGGACAAAAGAAAATGTCACCCACTCAATTTTATAGACGAGGAGACGGAAATAAAGAGGTTACCATCCCTTATGACTCCAAAAAGTATTCTGCAAATACCATTCTTGCTGTACTGATCTTCCTGAAATGGATCAGTAGCATTATTGCTATTCTGATGTTCCCCAAAGTAGAAATCCATCACAAAAATCCCAATTCACTATTTTCCACTGTTCCTCATTTCAAAGGTGAAACGCAAGTAAAATTTTTTTAAAGCCAAACATCAGATTTGCAAAAAAAGTAAAACAGAGTCAGTCTTCTCAGTGCTTTGCTGTTACTGTTATTTTGGCACATAGTTTTTTTTTTGCAAAAAAAATTTATTATAATAAATTTATATCTGTTTTTAAATGAACATTAATAAAATTTGTTTTAATTTATAATATGGTAAACATTAATAAATGTAAGTACATTGGGTCAGGCACACTGGCTCATGCCTGTAATCCCAGCGCTTTGGGAGGCTGAGGTGGGAGGATCACCTGAGGCCAGGAGTTCGAGATCAGCCTGGCCAACATGATGAAACCCTGTCTCTACTAAAATGCAAAAAAAAAAAAAAAAAATTAGTCGAGCATGGTGGTACATGCCTGTAATCCCAGCCCTCAATAACTTATTTAAATGTAAACAAGTTTTGAAACCAAGTCATTTGAGGACTGCTATCCTACATGCTAAAAGACTTTCCAAGTCAACTAACTGATGGCAGAGCATGGGTGGAGCACTCAGTGGTGAATGGTAAATTTCATTTCAAATTTTGTTTATAAAGACAAGATACAATATTTGCAAGTGTGATTATTTAGGAAAACTACAGTAAATTACAGATCAAGTGTAGCTCTATGCATGAACCCAGTTCTCAGAACAATACATACTGGCTTGGCATGGAGTGGGTGCTCCATTATCCTGTGCTCGATGAATAAATGAACAGAGCATAGACATATGTAAAGAAAAAAAGACACATATGAAGTAACAAGTAAAAGAAAATAAACATGCAGGAATATCTCATTCTTGACAGGTTTCAATGAAGTAAGACTTAAATATTTCATATTTCAAAAAGCCTAAATAACAGGACTCTCTAGCTTTATATATCAAAAATGAGGGAGGAGAGGACAAAAGGAAAAAAAAACAAAAAACAAAAAACAAAACAAAAAAAAAACAGCACCATAAATTAAGAAAAGCTGGACCAAAACAAAAAGGCCCTTTAGTAATTTACTACTAAATAACTTTTGCTTCAAAGAAATCAAAATTGATTTAAAAATATTAAGGTTGCGCGCAGTGGCTTACGCCTGTAATCCCATACTTTGGGAGGCCAAGGCAGACGGATCACCTAAGATTGGATTTGAGACCAGCCTGGCCAACACTGTGAAACCCAATCTCTACTAAAAATACAAAAATCAGCCGGGCGGGCCGGGCGCGGTGGCTCAAGCCTGTAATCCCAGCACTTTGGGAGGCCGAGACGGGCGGATCACAAGGTCAGGAGATCGAGACCATCCTGGCTAACGAGGTGAAACGCCATCTCTACTAAAAATACAAAAAACTAGCCGGGCGAGGTGGCAGGCGCCTGTAGTCCCAGCTACGTGGGAGGCTGAGGCAGGAGAATGGCGTGAACCTGGGAGGCGGAGCTTGCAGTGAGCTGAGATCCGGCCACTGTACTCTAGCCTGGGTGACAAAGCGAGACTCTGTCTCAAAAAAAAAAAAAAAAAAAAAACTCGGGAGGCGGAGGCTGCAGTGAGCTGAGATCCGGGCACAAATTTCAGCTCAGACAGCCGACTTGCCCCAAAAAAAAAAAAAAAAAAAATCAGCCGGGCATGGTGGCTGGCACCTGTAATCCCAGCTACTTGGGAGTATGAGGCAGGAGAATTGCTTGAATCCCAGGAGGCAGAGGATGCAGTGAGCCAAGATCATACCACTGCACTCCAGCCTGGACAACAGGAGCAAGACTCAGTCTCAAAAACAAAACAAAACAAACACAGAATATTAAGAACATAACAATGGGGGCGCCATACAAAACACCTATATGATTTGGCTAAAGAAGTAATTGTAGGCTAAACACTAAAAATGTTTATTCAACAAAGAAGAAAAATTAACAGGCTAAACATGCAACTCAAACAGAAAAAAAGGACAAATAAAAATAAAAAAAATAATAAAAGAAAGTAAGAGGCCTGGCGCAGTGGCTCATGCCTGTAATCCCAGAACTTTGGGAGGCTAAGGTGGGCAGATCACAAGGTTAAGAGATCGAAATCATCCTGGCCAACACAGCGAAACCCCGTCTCTACTAAAATACAAAAATCAGCCAGGCATGGTGGCGCGCACTTGTAGTCCCAGCTACTCGGGAGGCTGAGAAAGGGGTATCAATTGAACCAGGGAGCCGGAGGTTGCTGTGAGACGAAATTGTGCCACTGCACTCCAGCCTGGCGACAGAGCAAGACTCCATCTCAAAAAAAAAAAGCAATTAAAAAAGAGAAAAGGTAGCTGGGTGCAATGGCTCACTCACGCCTATAATCCCAACACTCTGGAAGGCCAAAGTGGGTGGATCATTTGAGGCTAGGAGTGCAAGACCAGCCTGGCCAACATAGCGAAACCCCGTCTCTACTAAAAATACAAAAATTAACTGGGCATGGTGGCGCATGCCTGTAATCCCAGCTACTCGGGAGGCTGAAGCTGCAGTGAGTAAAGATCACGCCGCTGCACTCCAGCCCGGGTAACAGAACAAGACTGTCTCAAGAAAGAGAGAAGAAAAAAAAAAGAGAAACAAGGCACAAAACTGTTCGTGCACTAATAAAAAAATTGGACAAATGACACGGCAGGCAATTCACAATTACAGTCACAGCACAGAAAAGCTCAACTTCATTAGTAACCAAACACATAAACGATGCCTCATGTTATTAATCCAATAGACTACCACACTGGAAAGACTGGTTTGAATAATTCTTGGCATTGAAAGTGAAGAAATACATTCTCAGAATAAGAATTAAAGTATCAAATGATCAAAATTTTTGACGGCAACATGCCAAGATGCTTCAACATTTTTAAGGTAGTGGGGCAAGGCACGGGGATTTGACCCAACAGTATCACTTCAAAGAAAATAACAGCCCAAGACTTTGGAACCAGGTTCACTGACCTGTCTGAAATTCTGGCATTGTTCCTCACCTTGAACAAAACAGTGATCTTTACTTACAATCCAATCTATACTCACAGAATACAGGCTGAATTCTGTCATCTACAAACCACTCTATGTTTAAAATTATAAGTGACCAATCTCCTGTTCCCACCAGCTCTTAGTAACTGTTCACTATACTTGCTCTTGAACCTCCGTAAGACTTGATCCCTAGAGTTTCTACTTTCATTTTGATCTTCACTATCAGCTCTATTTTGCTTAGACAACACTGTCACTGCTCCTATCACCTTCTTTCTAATATCAAAAACTTCCTTGTCTTTCTGCTGCTCCTGACACACAAAATTCTGTATTTGGACCAACACCGTCTGTTTCTGTCAGTACTCAACCTCTAAAATTTACTCCAACCACTCTGTAGTGTCTCATTGTCCTAACCTTGCTTAGCTAACAAATCTCAACTTTTACCTAAGAGACTGCCTATCTACATTTATACCCAGTTTTCTAAATGCCAGTGGAGAAAAGGATACACTAAATCTTCTGTTCCCCCTGGTTAGCCCTATTCTCCATACTCCAAAAGAATATCTTAAATCTGCATTCTACTCTAAATCTGATTCCCAGCATCCTCTCATACTCTCTGCAGGTGACCACTTTCTACCTTATTAAAAACAGAAGATAGAGGAACTTATTTTCAACTTTCTGTTTAACTTTGTCGCATCCAGACCCACCTACATCTCCATCCAGACCCACCTACATCTCCTTCTCACCTATTAAATGAAAGAAGAATCCCTTTCTTTCAAACCTAATTCTTTCCACCTG